GTCAGCCAGGTGGCTTAGCGGTTAGCGTGCCTGATTGGGAAGCCAATGGTTGCGGGTTCGAATCTCTCTTAGGGCGCGGGTGTATCTCTCTGTGTTGTGTTAATTTGGTCCACTCTATGAACGCGTATCTGTGGTGTGGGTAATGTTACTCGCCTCCGTGACTAAGATTCACAGGTGCCCATCGAGTAACGCTGTTTTTCGAAGCTCTGTCGCTAAGGAAAATGAAAAATCCATAGATTAAGTGCCTTGCACTTAAAGCAATGCAATGGTATTGAACTATATATACAGGGTTATTCAAAATTCCCTCCGAGGTTTCGAAGCGCTATAGTAAAAAACAACAGGCTTCAGTGGTACATGTTACTGCCATCTACCGGCAACTGCTTAAATTAAAACTTGAATACTTACGGAATAATTTCATTTTTTTCTCTCCCCATATTCGTCTTCGTTTATTTACTGTAACACTTCGAAACCCCGGAGGGAATTATGAATAACCCTGTATAATCTTGTCGTGAAGAATTATCTATGGACAAATAACTTAAATATTTTAAAAGTCATTAAACTTTTTTAAAAATCGCCAATCAGGCGACATTTTCCCACCTAGATGAAAGTTATCAAATTCACTGCCTTATTCTCAGTATTTGCAAATTTTTATAAGCCCAAACAATGGAGCAATGTTGTAAGTTTTTAAATATTTAAAAATTCGACCACAAACGGTGTTCATTTTTATAAAACTGTGGCTTTTTTCATTATTGATATTTTGCGCCGTTTTCAAAATAAGCGTAGACAGCGCTGACTTTAGATAGGCTAAGCTTGACCTAACTATCATGAGTAACAGTTGCAAACTCAGAGCAGTTATAAAAATAACATATTATTCGTAATAAATCATCATCTGACGGTGAAATCGAAAAACAGCCGTAAAGATCTACACTTCCGGCATCTTCCAAAGCAAACGGAGCATAGTTCAGTGCCTGCCGTTAATAAAAAAAAATTATTCTTTAATTTTGATTCAATTTTTTCTTTGCTTATCTATTTTGCTTGAATTGTATGTTTTTAATCTGTGAGTTAAAGAATGTGTTTTTCATCAGTGTACCTGTCTAAAATCAATACTTGAAAATGCAACGATGAAAAAAGTTTTAAAAAATGCAAATTAAAAGACAGAAATTTAGGGTGATATGCATTCTGAAGTTATATGGCATCCAGGCATGAAGTTATATGGCATTTGAATATTCATACTAAAGATAGTTTTTTTTTAATTTTTTTTTAATTTTCTGAAAAACATATTGTTGTATTTCAACATCATGAACAATCACTCCTTAAGTTCTATAAATCAACCGCGAACAATAATACAATGTTTCAAGCACAAATTTTCATATAATATTCTGTTCGAAACATGATATTTACAAACAAAATTACTTTTGAAAAAAATACTCGTAATTCCTAATATCCGCTGAAGTGAAACTGTACTCGGATAATGCGGCAACAATGAATATTGCCATAGATTAAAAAAAATTAACTTTAAAAGATTACGTTTGCGTTCGAAAGCAATAAAATAGTTTTGGTAACATTAAATTAAAAAAACACTATGCAGACACTACATAAAAAAAAAATGAGTTTCTGGGTTAAATGCCGAAAATTGTAGTGAAATGAAAGAATAATTTTAAAATATGTAACAAGTAAAAATATAATACACTAGTGGGAGAGCCCCCTGCTTGCTAACGCTCACCAACCCCCGAGAATTGCTACGTAATCTTATATGGTTTTCTTCGCAAACCAAGCTCACTTCGGTCGCTACTAACTTAGGTACACTGCAAATGCACAAAATTCTAAGAATTCAAAACAATCATTCAAATCCATATAACAACTTTAAAAAAAAATTGCATCATTTTAATAAATACTAAGTCATTAAAATAAATTTGAATTCAAATAAATGACATGTAATTCGTTAAACCTATTAGAAATGTGCTATAGTATAAAATCTTAAAGCGTAACAGCACGACTGAGACTCATTTTTCAATGAATAACTAATAACAATAATAAAACAAATAAATTCGTGATATAAATCAAAAATCGTCAAATAAATTCGTAATATATAAATTCGTGAAAAAAGCGCTTTCAACAAAATACTAAAATACTTATTTCAGTTTCCGTTTTTAAAAGCGCTATATGTTGAGCCACCTCAGCTAGATTTGGCATGTGACATTTTTAGCGACAATCATTGGTCGATTTTCTAGCGTTGCCATTCAGGGAGTTATAATGAGGCTTTTTTTTGTAGCCGTGTAAGAGAAATATATATATATATAGGTAGCGATTCAGCTTAGACTTTATAGCGGGTCAAATACGTCAAAAATTACTGAGGTGATGCGAAAAGAAAGTTAAGACGCGTACTCTTGAAAGCGTAATTATGCTTGACAAAAAAACTAGGGGGCCAGCAGATTTAAGAGGACAAAATTAAACCAAACTTAAAAAAACACAATAAATAATATCCTTAAAAAATTTAATAAAGAATATTTCAGCGATGGCTGATCGATACGAATTCCGCACCCAGCTCGCACCGACCACAGTGTTGACGTAAAGTATCCTCAGTGGTAGACAGATCATGTGTTAGAATCCCTTTGCTGTCAAGCTAACAGTGGGGGTTTTTCGTGATTTTTCTTTCCAAGTAACACAAATGCGGGTTAGTTCCATCAAAAAATCCTCCTCGAAGGCAAATTTCTCCCAGTACTTGATCCAGTACTTCCCTTGTCTTCTGGATTGGGTTCAAAATTACAAGGCTTCGGAGTTGAACGTTGGTAGCCGTAAACTCAAAATTGGATCGGCTGTGAAAATGCGTGTGAAATTATTGCAATCTCTTATATGATTAATTGCGAACATTTGAAATTTTACACGCTTAACTTCATTAGATTAATGCTGTAAAATTATTACCTACTGCAGTCTGGACAGAATGGATTGAAGGAAATATGAAATTAACTTACATATATTTTATCTGAGGTATCTGTTAGTTATGGCACAAATTATAAGTTAATTTAACCTTTTTTTTAACTTGTCATGGCTTCTACAAAAAATCTTTTTATAATGGCTTTCCTAAGAGTATACATTTTTATAGATTTATTATTAGTTTTTTGAATTCATATTCATATGTTAGTTTTTTTACGTTTACTGAAATTTAAAGCTCTGCTAAACTTGTGATTCATGTAATATTAAAGTAATATGAAGAATTTTTTAAGAAATTAAGTATTTTTAATTAAAGTATCCTTACATTTTAAGCATTTATATAATTTTCAAACGCATTAAATTTTTTTTATATAAGACAGGTTCATTCTGAAAAACAGATATCATCTGTTGTGTGTTCCCAATAGATGGAAGAAGTATTTTATTTGTAGCATATACTTCATTCAAATTAAGAAGTTTTGAAAACTCTGATTTTTAATCAATTTAACAATTGCTAACTTCAGACCTTATAGAGATATTTATTTATTTATTATTGATATTATTTATTTATTTACTACTATATTCTTGTTCTTTTTCCTTTTTAATTGCAATTTATAGTTTTTGAAAAGAAATCAAACTTCAAATTTTACAGTTTTTATTGTGTATGGAATTAATTTGCATTTTATAACATTATGAAATAATTTACTACTTTTGTTTATAAATTAGTAAATTTTAAGCTCATGAATTTAATTTATTATATGTTTTAGGTGTTCTTTTAATTTTCAGTCATAGAGCAGCACTTTTTAATCCAATTTAAATCAATGCAACTCCAACCAGAAAAATATCAAAGTTATAATTAATTTTCCGATTTACATCATGTAATTTTGAACTTCACATAAACCATAAAAAAAAAACAAAGAACATAAATATTATATATTTTCTCTGATTAGAGCACTGTAGTTACGCAATATTTCTTTCTTTTGATAAATCTAAAAATCTAATCAAAATAAGAATTTAATACATTTTAAATTGTTTAATTAATTGATTTAGTATTTTAATAGAGGTCATGGTATTTATAATATAAAAACATTGAAAATGTCAAAATGATTACTTTAAAAACTAATACATATATTTTAATGTTTTAGTTTCTTCCCTTAGTATTTTTTTAAATGCAAGTTCGAGTTATAATTAGTTAACTTCAAAACTATTTTTTTTTCTTGTAACCGTGTGTTTCAAGGAAAGAAGGAGTTAAAGTGGGAGTTAGTGAAAATCTATTTTATAAAGAATGAATAAGATGATTGTTTTTGTATCTTCATTTTCCATTGATAAACAAATTAATGGATTGGATAAATTTTAATTTTTCACATTTTTATCTATAATTATTTAATTTTATATTTTCTACGCCAAAACTTGGATTTCTGACTGTAATTATCAAAACAAAGAGAAAAATTACATTAAAAATAGTTCAAGAACATAATTGATTGATAACTTCTAATTTTATGTGGTTTTTATTTGCAAACACATGATAACTAATAATTATATAATCGCAAATAATTATCATTACACCAAACTTTTTCACATAATAAAATTTTAACCATAAAAACCCTTTTGTTATGATTTTTGACAATTGTCAAAAACAATAACAAAAATAAAGGAGTTTTTTGACATAATGGTTAAAACCATCTTAAAAACTTTCTAACCTTGTTGTAAGCTCTTAAGGGTTTGTTAAAATACATCAATCAATTACATATGGATATTACAGATTCAATATTCGATAAAACCATGGTAAAAACCAGATAAAACCATGAGCTGTTAAAAACTTGCTAACCTTGCTGTAAGCCTTTAAGGTTTTGTTAAATTACATCAATGGATAATACAGATTCAATATTCAATAAAATCATGGTTAAAACCATCAGCTCTTAAAATCTTGCTAACCTTGTTGTAAGTTCTTAAGGGTTTGTTAAAATACATCAATGAATTACAGATGAATAGTACAGATTCAATATTCAATAAAATCATAATGAAAACCAAATAAAACCATGAGCTGTTAAGAACTTGCTAACCTTGTTGTAAGGTTTTGTTAAATTACCTCAATGGATAAAACAGATTCAATATTCAATAAAATCATGGTTAAAAACATCAGCTCTTAAAATCTTGCTAGCCTTGTTGTAAGCTCTTAAGGGTTTGTTAAAATGCATCAATGTATTATAGATGGATATTATAGGGTCAGTATTCAATAAAATTATGGTTAAAACCATATAAAATCATCAGTTGTTAAAAACCTGCTAACCTTGTTGTAAGACTTTTAAAGGTTTGTTAGAATACATCAATGGATACAAATGAATATTACAGATTCAATATTCAATAAAGCATGGTGAAAACCATAAGTTGTTAAAAACTTGCTAATCTTGTTGTAAACTCTTAAGGGTTCGTTTAAATTCATCAATGGTGATATATTGCAGATTTATTTCAATATTTCAAAGATTTTTTTAGACTAAGAATGTAGAAATAAATTTTTCAATTAAGCATAAATATGTACTGAGTATGTTAAATGATTATACCTGTTGCCATCTGCTGTACCTTCTGAAAAAAATAAAATTTATATTTAAAATTAATAATATTGAACCTAAAATTTGCAAAAAAACATTATTTAAAATCTCAGGTGAAAGGCAAAACGTCTCATCTAATTACTCACTTATTCACTGCTTCTCTTATAACAGCTGAATTGAAAAGAATGTTTTCTGATTTTACATTATTTCAGTTTAAACTTTGACCATAGGCCGTGTAATGACCGTTTGGTGGGGGGAGGGGGCAAACTTTTTGTCTTTAAGAAACTGTTCGCTTATTTTAAGTATAAATAGTATAATTTATGTATAAATAGACTTACATAGAAAAACTGAATATGCATATATACATAAAACTTAAAATGAACGAACAATTTTTAAAAATAAAAAGAGTGCCCCCAATCACGCTACACCTATGATTGTGACTGAATAGTTTCTGTCACGTTTTAATCTTTCAATAATAATAAACAGTGATTTTCTGACATTTTAAATTTTTAGTTCCATGAAATTTTCATAATACTCAAAAATATCAAATTCATATTTTACATTTTAATCAGATCAAATCAAATTTATACTTTACATTTTAACGAGTATTAAACATTTTTTTTTCAATATTTGTGAATCTTATTTTTGTTTGCTAATACTTAATTGAAAAAAAAAATTGTTAATTACAAAAGGAAGATAAAATTATGTGCTCAAACGTAATTATTTATTAATGAAAATTAGATTTAATGATCATTTCTGCATGTTCATTAAAATCTTAATTTGTATACTTGGAATGCTAAGAAAATAAATGTTTAAATTTAAAACACAATGTGAAATAAAGATAGAAATTGATATTTTTTTGCACAATTTAACGCAAATAAAGAATTCATTGATTGAAAAACACAAATGAACATACCATGTGCAGCAAAAAGATAAATGTATTTCATTTCATGAATGCTTACAATGCTTTTAGAAACTCTATTCATCAACTTTAAAGCTAATTATGTGTTTATTTATAACTTTCAGCTAATCACAAGACTTATGATGCTTTACAATTTACAGAAAATCATTTCAGCAACTTCATTATTATAAAAATCATAACACATTTAGAATAAGACATAAAAGTGACTGAAATAGTTATTCTCATAACCATTCCTTTTATAATAATCAAGCAAAATTTTTTACTGAGTAAATATAGGTTATTAAAAAAGTTCTGCAAAACTTGCGAAAATTTCAACTTTTATGAATTTTCATTTTGTTTTGCTGTTTTTAGTGATCTTAGTTTAAATTTTCATCAATATTTCTAAATGATTTTGGATAAAACTGAATTCTGGGTTTTGGTTCGTTATTGTTCTAAACAAGTGTTGTAGCTATAAGCATATTTCCCAAGTGTTACAGAACTTTTTTAACAAGATATATATCGTATGTTATATTATATATATATGGGTATACATGTAGATTATACTATAAAAAAATTCAAAAAATTGTAGAATATACTATAAAAATCACTTATCAACAGATTGATTATTTTCATTAAAAAAAACATTAAAACCTACCTATCTCCTGCATAATTGAGTTTTTTCATGAAAAAGATCCAAAAATCAATTTATTCAATGGCTTTTTTTTTTGAAAATTGAAGTTTTGTTTGCATTATTAAAAAAATGTTTTTGCGTTTCATTCGTATTTTTTCAAGTTGAAAGTTTTAAATATTAGAAACAAAATGTGAACTTCATTGATCTGAATTTTTACTTTTTTTTTCAAAAATTGGTTAAAGTTTCGTAATTATTTTTTCATCTAAATTAACTAACTAATAGAAATTACTTTAAAATTTTCGGTAACTTGTCAACTGAAACATGTCTGAGAGTTCGTGACGGAGGTCTGAGGTTCTATCCTCGGACCGGCAAGATTGACTCTGCCTTTCATCTTTTCAGTGGGTGGATAGAATGAGTACCAAGCATGCTCTGGGACTGAACAGTGGGGGTTCCGGGTTCGGCTGCCCCTGCGTCCCAGTGCCCAAAGGCAAGAAAATTGGGATGGGCATAGTAGGCTTTGGCTCTTCATGGGTTGTCGAGCCACTGAGTTTAGTTTTAATGGTAACTTCTGCTTACTTGAATTCTCAATGACAAAAAAAGTGAATTTTTCACTAAAGTTCCCGTAGATATTTTTAAATTTAAAATAATCTAATAAAAAATAATTCAAGAAATTAAGAAAAAAAAAACAAATTATCTATACTAATTAAGAATATTATGTTAAAGAACGTAGGTATTACTTCAATTACCAATAAAATATAAAAATATTCTGCACACATTGAAAGTAACTGTGAAATTTTCAAAGCTTACATAATCACGTAGATTTGAGATGTTAATATTATTTTAAGCTTCTAATAATAGCCATTACCAACAAGTAAATTTTGATTTAAAAAATGTATACCACAGAAGCTTTGGTTTTAGACGACACGTTAAAACTGGTAGAAATGTTTGAAAAAATTTCATTAGCTAATTTAACATTTTCTTCCTAAGGAACTTTTGATTATAAAAATCTATTCCACAGGAGCTTTGGTTTTAGGCGACACGTTGAAACTGGCAGCAATGTTTAAAAAAATTTCATTAGTTAATTCAACATTTTTTTTCACTAAACTAAACCATTCAGGAGTATTAAATATTTCCGCCGAGTTTTCAATAGAAAAGTTTATTGCTGTATGCTTTAAGCGTTCGTGGATCACCATATGTGCTGTAAGAAGAATATCACAAACATTGCTTAGAGACATAACATTCTCTAAACAGGATGCACACTTTTCCCGGAGTGAAAGAACCTGATACTTATCGGCGGCAAATAAAAGTTTCTTAGCTGTTTCGTAATCCATGTTATCCACCGTTGCTGTGTAAATAAATTCAAGAAGTAGCTTCAGGGTATCTGTTTCTACATCGTCAATATGAACGACACCCGTCTGTGACTCGATCATATCTTGTTCGAACATCGCTGAAAATATAGGAGAACGAGCAGCAAGCACAGATTTGTGTGCATGCACTTCCTGGTCATTTACTTTTAATATTATGTCCGAATGTACGTCTTTTAGCAACATACATTTTAGTTCTTTTTTCAAAAGTGAAACATCAACATCGGAATTCAAACTGTCCTTTGAATCTAAATCTCTTGTTGATACGGTTCCATCTGAAACAGCTAGTTCACATAATAGAAATATCATGTTATCCTCTGTTAAGACATTTGCATCACTTTCCATAGTAGTTTTAGAAATAAATGACGGGAATTCCCAAACCTCGTTTTTATTTTTCGACTCAAATAAGTGCTGAGCACTTTTTGAGCATATTTTCTTTCCTTTTGAATTTAAAAGAGACAATTTACAAATAATAAATGTAGGTAAAATTGACTCAAATTGAATGATACAGATTTTCACTGAGTCAGCTGCTGCACTAAAAGTCATTTCATAATTAAGCTTGTTAACAGTGAAGTTTTTTCTTGCAATATCATCTGCAACCTTAACCTTCCAAGAGAACGAGGTAGAGTTAACACCAATATCAGTATACGTTTCATACGTAGGTGATTTATCTTGTCCACATTTGATAAACATTTGGCAACGAATGGTTAAAATATCTTCCTTCGAGTTTTTTAACTCCTCCATAACTTTATCGGTTTTTTCAAACTTAGACCAACCCCAAGCTCTACTGTCTTTAAAAACACGCGATCCTACTGTGTTAGCACCGAAAATTTTTTTATCTGTTCCAATGCTTAGCGTATATTTTATAATGCTTTCTTTATTGTATACACTAGGATTTTTCAGTTGTAAATATAACGAAACATAGCCTTCAGATTCTTTGTTATCTCCTCTGGGATAAATTTCTAAAGACCATTTACTTCCACCAATACAGTCTACTCTGAAAGCAGAACTTACAATCCTCTCTCCATTTTTCTGAAAACTTAGAGAAAAATTTCGAATTTTCCACACACATATAAATTCCTGAGTACACTCTGTAGACATGTTTTTTTATCAATGCACTTTATTCTACGACTGGTGGTTCTCTCGAGGCAGTGAAAAATTTGTTCTTTTAACATCTGATAAAACGATTCGAAAGTGCAATTGCTATCTGATATTTATTCTTTTCATAAAAGGTCAATGTCTATCTTATACATGATTGTTATTTTCTAATTGTCATAGATAAGACTTTTCTATGAATGATGGTTTAAATTTTAAAAAAACTTTCAATTTTGATTTTTTTTTCAATTTTCATTTATTATTTTAAAAGTTTAACTTCATCTAAAATGCGTGCAGTAAAGTTTGCAAAAACATTAGGTCCTGAAAAATTACACAAAAAAACTTTATGTTGTTTAAATTTCAAATTGAATTTCATACAATCATGCTAAAAAAATTAAATAAATCCCTATTTAGTTAAGCATGTGATCAAATAACATTTTTAGTTCTTCGCGGTAATCTGTCAATTCAGAATTTTAATTTTTATAAGAAACAAGTTTCGAAATTTTTTAAAAGGAAATCTTAGCGATTTATCTACATCTGATTCGTTTTTAAAAATAAAGCTCAGATAAAAAATAATCTGCAAATGTTGTAATAACCTGCAGTGCCCGCTGCCGTACTGGATGGCTTCTATTATCAGAGTTCGGCAACTAATAAATGCAAAATAATCATAAGATATGATGCACTTAAGAGTTAGGGGAGTTACTTTTACTACACAATTTAAAGTAAGAACAGTTATTTTTGGATACGCCGCATTAATTCTTAAAATAAATTTAGTTTGTAAATAAAACCTACACCCAGCATAGTGATTATAGTGAGAAGAATTCGAATTAGGCTTAACGGAACAGAAGCGTGTAGTATGATGGGGATATAAAATAAAAGGAAGGTTTCTGCTACCGGGGTTCAGTTATTCTAATAGTCATAATAATCATAAGATATGATGCACTTAAGTCATGGAAGTTATTTATATCACACTATTTAAAGTAAAAACAGTTAATTTTGAATACACCCCATTATTTCTTAAAATAAATTTAGTTTGTAAATTC